GGCCCCCCGGGCCCCCCTGCTCCGTCAGGGCCCCCAGGCTTCCTACCTCCCTTGTCCCGCCAGGGGCACCCGCGAACCCCGCGGCCCGGCGCCACTTCGTTGTTATCGAGGAGGGCGGTGAGCGGGGCCAACGAGTGCCCCGGCACTTTGCCCTTCCAGAGCCCGCGCATGGTGTGACGCGGGACCCGGCTGCGGGACCGGCAGCGCGTGGTGCATTGGGACGTGCGCGGAGCAAGCGACGCCGCGCGCCTGCTGGACATGAACTCGGCGGGCGAGCAGCGCGTGTACCGCGCCCGCGACCTCGACCGGCTGCTGCTAGCGCCCTCCGCCTTCCTCGACGGCAACTTCTCGCTGCTCATCCGCGGTGTGGATCCGGGAGGCCGGGGTGGGGGGGGGGCGGGACGAGGGACGGGACCGTGTGGACGGAGGGGGGGACGGGGGCCAGGATGGCGGGACGGAGGTCCGGGCCCCGGGTCTGCGCGCGCAGCTCACGCGGGGCTTCTCCCGTCGCCCCGCAGCGGTGGAGGACAGTGACGCGGGGCTGTACACCTGCAACCTGCACCACCACTACTGCCACCTGGACGAGAGGCTGGCCATCCGCCTGGACGTCACGGACGACCGTGAGCAGGCCCGCCCCCCCGCCCCGAGCCCGCCCCCCCCGCCCCGAGCTCGCGCGGGCGCTGACCCCCGCTCCCCCGTCCCGCCCGCAGCCCGCGAGGCGCACGCGCACTGGGACGGTGAGAGGGAGGTGCTGCGGGCCGCCCGCGGAGCGCCGGCCCTGCTGCGCTGCGTGAACCGCGCGCCGGTGTGGACCGACCGGCACCTGGAGGAGGCGCAGCAGGTGGTGCACTGGGACCGGCAGCCGCCCGGGGTGCCGCACGACCGCGCCGACCGCCTGCTGGACCTGTACGCGTCCGGGGAGCGCCGCGCCTACGGGCCGCCGGGGCTGCGCGGGCGCGCGGCCGTGCGCGCCGACGCCTTCGCGCGCGGGGACTTCTCGCTGCGCATCGCCGCGCTGGAGCCGGCCGACGCGGGCACCTACTCCTGCCACCTGCACCACCACTACTGCGGCCTGCACGAGCGCCGCGTCTTCCACCTGCGCGTGCGCGAGCCGCCCGCGGGGCCGCCGCCCGACCCCGGCCACGGCTCGGGCGCGGGCCCGGCCCCGGACCCCACCCTGGCGCGGGGCCGCAGCGTCATCCACGTCGTCGTCCCCGAGGGCCGGGCCCACTTCTTCCAGCAGCTGGGCTACGTGCTGGCCACACTGCTGCTCTTCATCCTGCTGCTCATCACCGCGGTCCTGGTCACGCGCCAGCGCCGGCGCGGGGATGAAGAGGGGCGGAAAGCGGTATAAATTAAACATATTAAAAGGATGATTGGGAATGAGTAGAATATGATGGTGATCTTGCTGATAGACCCACTTACCTGGATGCGTAATAAATCTTTGTATATGCGACTAAGCCAGGAGTCATTATCAGCGCTCAATGCCCTTTTTACTTACCTCGCTGATAATCTCAACACCTGTCCTCAGAAAATCTTCCACGAAGCCCTATGGCCTGATTTTGAAATCTTTTTTATGAATTGGCTGGAGAGTACGAACACCCCTATTCATGTTAT